TTCTATTGTTTCATTATTATTAGAAGCTATGTTAATTGTAAGTTATTATAAGATAGTGATTAAGTATTTGGTTTGTATATTTGTTAGTTTATTTATATATAGGGTCTATATTGTTGCATTATTTATTGTTACTATAAAAAGGGAGAGATGTGGTGTATGTAATACCTAAATATTATTATAACAGTTGTAAATATGTGACTAATAAAGAGATGATTACCACATCACGATAGTGAGGATTCATTAGTCGTCGGTTATCGATGCGGTACACATCTACAAGCAATACGAGTGTTTTATTCCAAATACCTATTATAAAATAGCGAATACCACAACAACTATTCTACCAAATACGTAGATTCTTTGCGGCTAATTCTATTGTTTGGTAGATAAAGTTAATATAGTCACATAGTTGCCGCGATTCATTCCATTTAGAATTTAAAACGTTAAAGGGTTTAAGTTATGGAAGTTTATTGATAATAGGGGAAATAGGGTTTAGTTCTGTTATTATAGTTAGATAATTAGGTCGGTGTGAATATTGGTGGTGTGAAAGGCTAAGATCTTAGTTTTCGGGAAAAATCTGACAACCTAGTATCCCCTGCGCTGTCCGAGCTGCAGGCACAGCAACTTTCGCTTTCACTCCCTCTTTGGCCTTTGACAGTCGTGCGATATGCATTAAAGTTTGAGAAATTTTGTTCAATTCTAGATAAGCCAAGAAGAGGCGGTAAGTTTTTAAGATCTGTGAAGTCCTTAAGTCTAATGTAGTAATGATCGATGGAAATTTTAACATATTCTGACAACGTGTTCTCCTTTTTTTAGTGGACTTTAAGTTTTGGTTTGGGATTGTCGCAGGTCTAAGATGTCGTTTAATGGCTGTTTGGCTATTGTGGGTTATGATGGTTATGATGGTTACGTGACAAAACCCTTGTAAATAAGGGTAAGTCAAAGAAGTTAGAATTTTAGAGATACTTAAATGCGTCGTTTTAGGATTTTTTTATATCGAAATTTTTTTGGATGGCTTCACTTTGTTAGCAACAGCGAAGTTTTTAGCAATCTTGATTTGCGCAATGGAAATGCAAATCCGGATCTTCTATGCACAACTGGCTGAAGAACATGGCCGACCATTGACCTTAGCTGTCAGATTTTAAGATAACCGGCAAATACTACAAAAACCAGGTCGTATATTGTCATGAAATAAAAATATATTATTGATTTATTTTAATTAATTTATTATATTGTATTTAAATAATTATATTCCCACAGCCGAGCAAAGGAAGTTTCAGACGTAATATATGCATTTCAATAGAAATATACTGCAATCTTGCAATAATCATTAAAAACATAGCTCGTGTACGTTCTAAGTTTGTATATAAACCACGCATTTTTGTAATACAGAGATCAGATTAAATAAAGCTGTTATAATGTGTTGGCCTTTTAACCATACGTCACCCAACAATCCCAGATCACTACTGGTGGAGTCCCAATCGTCACATGGTGGAGGCGCCAACGATCTTGTACCATCACTATGAATAGAAAAAGTATCGGTACCCAGGATTGGCCGAATACTCGCTATATCCATTCATAGAAGAATTCCCGAATAGAGAAAGCATCGGTACCCAGGATTGGCCGATGGCCGATGCCGAGGAAAACAGCGAAGAAGAGGCAAATCCCGACGAAAATCAATCCGAAAAAGAAGAATACGACAACGTAGAAGCCCGTATCCAAAACCTTTTAAGTCCTTTACAAAATCTTTAAATTTTAAGTCCTTCCAAAGATATATCCTTACCTTTTTCCCAAGCAACTGAGATACAAGATAACACTGAAAAAAAATGCCCTATCACCCAAACCGAACCACAAATCATCGACATGTCGAACACAACCATTTTAGAAGCATCCCAGACCGGAAGAACACCTACAGTCCCGAAGTTTATTGCCCTCACAACATTCAACCCGACGACGACCATCGCCAAGACCTTTATGAAAAACTACGAAAGATGTTCCCAAATTATCTAGAATCATTTATGGAAGGAGCGGTCATTACATGGTATACAAAATACGTTACCAATCAAGGAAATAAAGAGAAAAATTGGGAAAATTTAAAAAAAGACTTTTTAGAAGAATTTGAAGGAGAAATATTTGTGAGAGCAGCAAAAATAAAATTTAATTCGATTTTCATTAACTGAATATAATTTTATTAAAATTGTTTATCATATAAATTTTAAACCTTTTTAAATTTAGTTTTACTGTTTATTTGCTTAATATTATTTGAAATAAAGTTATAATATTTTGGCCAATAATAAAACAAGAATTTTTTAGTATTAGCTACATAACGAAAGTATTAATGTATTTTTATTTTGTGTTTAATACGATTGATTCGGTGTTTTAAATATTGTATGATTATTGTTTACCCATAAAAACAAGTTGGTACGTAAATTTGCCTAATTGATAAAAGGTTTGCTGCTTGAAATAATTGGGTTGTGGAATATCTGCTATTTTTTTAACATTATTTTTAATAGTGTTTCCTAATTATTTGCAGATATTTTTAAGTGTTTTTTATAATATTATCCCAGGTAGAAGTATCTCAGAATTGATTTATCCACAGCGATTTTTCACCGTTGCACACAGGAGTATTTGGTTGAAAAACCCGGTCAAAAATATTTAAGGGTAATTCCATTTATTATCTACCAATGAGTGCACCTCATATACTCTAATTTTATTTCTTTTTTAACTATAAATAGACAAGGACCCGAAAAGTAAAAAAAACTCACCTTTTCTTTTCTCCACCTATCACCTAGTTACACAAGACCTAACTTGAAAAAATTGTACTTATTTTGCCAATAAAACTATCGACATTAAACAAACTGTTAATTTTTAGGAAAATATTTCTCTTTCAAACCATATAGGACACATTTAGTTTTTTGGCAAAATTGTCTAATTTTATAAATTTATATATTCTTAGAACTTGCCAGCAATTTTTTTTTAATGTAGTTTGTTACCAAAGATCTTACTCTATATAAAAGCACTAAAAACATTTTCATATGGAGTTCAAAAAAATATATTTAAAATTCATGTTTTCGAAAAATCACTATTTTCAGCCATTTCATGGTTTAAAAAGGCTATGTTTGAGTGAGTCGATTTAAACCAATTTAGGCTTATCATTACTTATTAGTATCCACTAACCATGAATAAAATTATTGTGTATTTTTCTTTTAGCTGTGCTGTGGGTGTATATGTCCACCTGTGACTAAATCCATATACTTATTAACTATATATTTTGAAAAAGCGTATTACATCTTTAAAACAACTCGACAGCCTTGAATTGACTTCTAATTCATTCTGTATAAAAATATAAAATATAAAAACCACATACAGTGGAATCGAAAATTAACAACCAATTTATTTCTTTTTTTAATTTAGAAAATATTATGTACAAAAAATTAATTAAATGACTAAAAGACTTTTCATAAACTTTATATTTAGACAAAATAAAACAGGTATTAAATCCTAAATTTAAATTGAACTTAACTTCATATACCTAATTAAACTAAAAAAATCATATTCCTAACTTTTACAATCAACTAAAAAAACCTATTTACTAATTTTTACCTCTAAAAAGTTATATGAATCGGAAAATTTTCTTATCTGTATAATGTTACCATCAAGGGGAATAAATCAATGAAACATTCTTGTATTTTTAATGGTTAATGCGGATTGAAACCTATTTTCAAAAAATGGTCTTTTCAACTCGATTTCTTCTTCGGTGACTAGAGCAAATTTAACACCTTTCATTTTTTCGCCGCAAAATGTATACATATCATTGATGTTTAAAATATTATTGTATTGTAAGCTTGCTTTTCTAAGTAAGCGTTTGACAGTTTCCCCAATTCCATCTCATGCACTTTTTCCATGTGATGTGGCATAAAAATGCCATTCAGCATCGATATTATAATCTTTTTTATGATTATATAAGTTTATAAAATTTTTCTTATTTTTGTATTGACCACCACACCCATCTGTCATATACAAACTTAAATAACATATGATATCTTTCTTTAACAATGTTGACAAAACGCTTTTAAAATACGGGAAATTCTAAAGTGCTATATGTTTTGGTATCAATTAAAACACAAAATGAGTGACATTGCAGCTTACCTAAAATATCCCCAAAATATATGACAAATGGGTGTAAGGTAGCAGATGATGAATTCCAGTGGAAACTGGGAACTTCATCCTGAACCACAAACGCATAATTTTCCGCAAAATCGCACATCACGATACATTCATATTCTGCTAAATTTTCTTTTCTTACTCGCAAAAAGTTACTTTGTGTTTTTGAGATGTAGTAATGGAGTTTCGTTTTCAGAACCTAGGTCTTTAAAGTTTTCTATGAAATCTTCGTAGCTTTCCCGTAGTGTTTTCATTTGACATCTGAAATAAAATTTAAATAAAAACATTTTTTACTAAGTTTTTTATTAATAAACGTACCTATCAGTGGAACCCATTGACAGCACTATACAAATTCATCTGATAGGTGTTGTGACTTATGAATTATAGACAAAAAATCATCAATTCATTTTTTATTATGACACTGTTTGCATTCGGATATCATATTTATACCACACACTGCTGCTTTTATGTAATCTGCGTAATTTATTGCTCTTGAAATTAAGTTGGAGGCTAACTTTAAGTTTTGATGATAGATACAAACACAGACAGTGTGTGCACCCGAAGCACCTGACAAAATGCACCACTTGGGTCTCATCTCTGCAAACTTTGAAAATCCTATTTTTGCAGATGGGTTCCTTTCTTTGAAAAGGGTACCTAAATATTTCTTTTAAATTGAAAAGAATTAATCTTTTTTGCATGTGAACCCTATTTCCAGTTTCATCCTTCATCAAAACATATTCTTTAGCCCCTGGACAAGGTTGGCTTATATCGTTTTTTAAATAAACCTGAAGAACTTCTTCAGAGATTTCTTCAGAAAGTGAAAGTCTTCCTTTTTTATTTCATTTTCGGCGTAGGGTAAGATTCCTTGATTTTTTCTTTGCATGTCTTGCTGTTTTTACAGTACTGACAGAAATATTAAATTCTTTGGCTGTCCTTTCACGGGACCAAGACACTGGTGCTAAACTTAGAAGATTAACTTTATTTTTGTAATCAACCGTAGAAATTTTCTTTTTGAGTTCAGCACTTAAGTTAAGGTAATCTTGGTCTAGATTTTCCAAATTTTCTTTTTCCACGCTATCATTTAAATTAAATGCTTTGATACATACCTTCTCAAAAGCTTTTAAGACTTCCAGAACCTTCTGTTTAATCCAGCTATTCCTTGTTTCATGCTTCATTTTCTTTGGCAAACCTTCCAATTTCAGAGAAAAGCACACATCCTCTATATTTTTTTTAAGTTTATGTATAGGGATAAAAGTATTATCATTTAATTCCTCGTAATCATTATTTATAAATTCATCTTCTATAATATCGACATCTATATCAATTGATTTTTTCTTTTCAATTAATTTTTTAAAACAGTTTGTACACATCGTTTTTCCCGGAACTAATTTTAGGTGTGAATAAGTTATGCAAGTATCTAAATCCAAAACTCTCAAAGATTTTTTTATTAACGACCTATGGCATTTAAATGGATCGCAGCAGACTTCACCAAGAACTTTGGTAAAGGACATACTTTAATTTGTGATACGTACAAATATCAGTTACAGTTGCATCTACTCGCCAATCTATTAAATCCTTTTTCTCCTTAGTACAAGATTCAATTTTGGAAAATCGCGAATAATATTTTGTATGGCATTTTTAAATTTCTGCCATTGAAAAGTTTTTAAATGACAGAAATTGGTGTGTAAACTGCAAGTTTTTAGAAAATTATGCACAATTTAATAATTTATTATTTTAGTTTTTGTTTATTTAAAAAAGTTTTTTTCGAAAGGAATTTATGTATTAGTGGTAAAAAATTAGTATGTTTACAGTAATTAGGTTCGTTTTTATGAATATGTAAAAATTTCAATATCTTAAAAATATTTTAATTAGGTATTAAAACAAAATCTTAAAAATTGTCTCTTGCGAATTAGAACTCAATTTAAGTCTTGCTACCGATTTTTTTTATAAAATATATAGTTAATATAATATTATGGATTTATATTAATATAATCCAAATTATAATAATAAAATTAATAATATTATAAATTATAATTTATAATCCATACTACGGATTTAGTCAGGTAGGCATATTGTGTATTTTGCTTTTAACTTGGCTGTAGGTGATATAGCCACAGCCCAGTTAAAAATAAAATACCCAATAATTTTATTCATGGTTATTGGAGGCTAATAAGTGCATGTGATGATTAGCATAAATTGGTTTAAACCGACTCACTCAAACATAGCCTTTTTAAACCATGAAATGGCTGAAAATAGTGATTTTTCGAAAACATGAATTTTAAATATATTTTTTTGAACTCTAAGCCAATATTATTTGAAAATGTTTTCATTGCTTTTATATAGAGTAAGATCTTTGGTAACAAACTCCTCTAAAAAAATTTTGCTGGCAAGTTATTTTAAGAATATATGAATTTATAAAATTAGACAATTTTGCCAAAAAATTGCATTTAAAAAAAATCCCAAAGACCATTTAAGGCATCAATAAGTACATGCGTCCTATATGGTTTAAAAGAGAAATATTTTCTTAACAATTAACAGTTTTTTTAATGTCGATAGCTTTATTAGCAAAAGAGTACAATTTTTTAAGTTAGGTCTGCACAGTAACTTTTGCATAGCCCTGTATGAATAGTTGAAGGGGGGAAGCTGAGTTTTTTTGACCTCTTCGGTCATTGTCTATTTACAGTTAAAAAGAAATAAAGTAGAAATAGAGGATATAAGGTGCACTCATTGGTGGCTAATAAATGGAATTACCCTTAACGGCTAAATTTGATTTAATTTTAATTTTTTATTTACCCAAACCAACACATTTATACAGGGTGGTTTAACCAAGATGGGGTGGACTATTGTGGGAAAACGGCGGTTGTTTGCATATTATTGGTAGTCGAGCTGACTATACAAGGTGAGTCAGAAGTAGGTGCATTATTTTGAGTCGTTTGAACCCCATATTGCCTTATCCAAAAGTTATTAGTTTTGGAGTTATTTGATTTTTTGTGATTTTGGTAAAAAATCGTGTCCAGGATTACATTTTTAGAATTTCTCGATAAGAATTAAAGTTAATTAAACGATTCTTTTTTTAGTCAGTCACCTTTGTAAAACACACACCGGTTTTAGTTTACGCTAACAATTCACGATTAGTAGTAAGTAAAATACTTTTGTTAACATTTATTTATTAAAATATTACTAAATAAAGGTCTACATTCTACATCTATTCAAAAATTCCCCATAAGCTTCACCATTTAAATTATCGGGCAAAAAGTGAGGACCGATCAATGAACTGCCAATTGCACCCATCCACACATTTACACTAAATTTTCTTTGAAAACTAGTTATTATTTTCTTATGTGAATTATCCTGTGTCCAGAAGTGTAAATTGTGAAAGTTAGTAATACCTTCTCAACTAAATTTAGACTAAAATTCTAGACAAGAACCTGGGATTATCAATATCTGCATTTAATAAATATCTGAAAAAGCTGATTCTTCGTTGGGGATCACCTTCCTCTAGACCCTAGACAGGTGTATAATGAAATGCATGCTGGCCTGAACGTTTCATTGCTCGTGTTAAACCCAACTCAGAAGCTACTTTTCTTGTGCTGGTAGTTGGATCTTCTTCAAATCTTTCTAGAATGTATTCATCAACATTTACATTAACTTTAGGAGCTCCAATGCGTGGTCTTGGTATAACAGTGCCGGTTTCAGCTATACGACGTTATGTTGTACTAAATTTATACTCTTTCATTAGGAACGCGTTTTTGTGGGAACCTCACTTGATATTCTCGTCGAGCTTCGGCTACGTTTCCATTACAAAATCCATCTACAAACATATTATCAGCGTATTCAGCATTTGAAAAGTTTGGCATGTTGAATTAATATGAATTAAACCTTTATTTCGCAATAATTTAAATACACAATTCCTGATACCTCAAGAATAGTTAATACCTATAATTATTATTCCAGGTAAATTTTTTTTTAATTTGCTTCCATATTAGTTAAATTTTACCTTTAATAATACAAATAATATATCAAGACCCATTACTACCTGGAACTGTTAATCCTAGGGTGAACTAAAACCTGTATGTGCCTTACAGAGGTGACATTTTCTATCCAAAAATAATAGTTTTTATGGACATATTATACATCATTCGAAAGGTAATACATTAGGAAAGTTTTTTAAACAATTTGCACGCAAAGTGTATAGTGAAATTAAAAAAAAAATCCTGATGAACTTAACAAGTCTTCCAAATTCTGTTGTTCTGAAGTTCCATATGGCTTTTTGGAAAAACTATTACTATATGTACCAATATATGGGCTAACTTCTAAAAAAAGAATCGTCTAATTAACTTTAATTCTTATCGAGAAATTTAAAAAAAAATTAAAACCTTGACACGATTTTTTACCAAAATCACAAAAAATCAAATAACTCCAAAACTAATAACTTTTGAATAAGGCAATATGGGGTTCAAACAACTCAAAATAATCTGTAGAATCACCTCCTTAAATTAATCCACCTACTTCTGACTCACCCTGTCCCGAAAAGTTCGTGACAAACTAAACTTGTATATTTTTAAATGGAAGAAAAATACACGATAAATTTGCCTTTAAATTAAACAACACACAATAATTAATATCGATGGAAGTATTGTAATTAATAATTTTTCGGCCATTTTTTGTAATTAGATAAATACCTTTCCCAAGCTAAATATAGGTACAAGTTATATTATAAAAAGTCAATTAAATATTATACAAGCAAGTGTACATAACATTATTATTGTACTTAATGAAAATTATATTGACTATTCCACTCATTACTTTTTGGACCAATCAGATTTCAGAAAACGAGTGGTTTTTTCAGTTTTGCAGCGATAAAACTACTATTCAGGTGACTATTTCCCTCGTCTTAATTTCCACCAATCACAAACAAACAATTTTGAATTACAAATGGTTTCTAGGTGAAAAAACTGTGTGACAGCACCTGTCAGCAGTTTATTCGAGTTTACCCGCGGCAAAACTTGACAGCTGTTGTCACCAAAAATTGCAATTTATATTTTAATTGTTAACTGTTACTCATGAAATAGTCTTGTCAAATACCATTCGGGCATCTAATTTTTCCTGTGAAAAAAATCGAAAAAACACAATGCCAAGTAATATTTTTGAACAAAAAGCATTCGTGCAGGTGCAAAAATCCTCCTCTTCGACTCGGATTTTTGTTGCCACCAGCACTCATGCTTTTTGTTAAAATATTACTTAGCAACGTGTTTTTTCGATTCTTTTCGGAAAAATTAAATGCCCTTATGATATTACTTACGAAAAAACCACTCGTTTATACGAGTTGCATAACAACCAATTGGTTGCTATGATAAAAATAATTGTCACTGTTGACGTTTTTAATTTTAAAATTAAAATGTTAAAAAATATGCGTTTTGGTCCAAAAAATCATACAGAAATTGAATCAGCAGTTAAAAATATTCGTGAAATAGTCTTGCCGAATACCACTGGTGATAAAATTTTCACTAGTAATACCACTAGAGGTCAAATTATTTCCGGAAATTTTTTCGAGCTCATGAATATTTTGAAAATTATCCCGAGTCGAAGACGAGGGATAATTTTCTAAAAATATTCATGAGGGAGAAAAAATTTCCGGATTTAATTTGACCTCGTGTGGTATTCGGTAAGAAAATTCCACACCAAATTGTGTTTAAATAATTAAAATTTATTTTTTGATTTAACTTGACCTCGACTTGATTATTTAGTTACCATGGCAACTAAGTCAACCCCAACCTAAAAGTTATTTCAGTTTTGAAGCTGTCAAGCGGCACGACGTAAAAAATGTGAAATTGTCTGCTGTAATGATCAATCATCGTGCAATGACTTATTTACCCGCATTATTAGAGGATTGTGGCTCCTACTTGAAGAAAGAAAATTTGTTTTGAATTGTTCACGAATATTTGCATCTTAACTATTCAAAACTCAAAGTGCTAAATGGAAAAAAAGGTGAATAGAATAGTGTCTAAATATTATATATATTTCATTAGACATAGGCATTTAATTTATTTCAAGTCCTGCATTTTCGCCATTAAGAAGAAAGGGGTGTCCAACGATTATAGAAAACATCTAACCTTTGTAATGGAAATGTATCAAAATTATCATGTAAACAAATAAAAACCAGATTGTCAAAAAAATATTCTGTCATTATAAACGTCAAAAAAATTTCCAGTATAATTCGCTGTTGGGTACCCACGAGGAAAAAATTTCCACTAAAATTCAACCGTTGCCATGGTGATCTATCAAAAATACACGTTTTGATTGGTTAAAAATTACAGGTGTGGAATTTTCCCTGACTATTTCCCTCGTCTTAATTTCCACCAATCACAAA